CATCCGAACGAAGCGAGCGCGCGCGGCAGCCCCCCGGGCCCGTGGGCGACGTCGCGCCGACGGCCAAGCACTGCAAGCTCTCGCGCTCGGCGCCCCGCCGCCCAATCGACGCGCGCAGCGGGGTGCTCCTCCCCGAGCGCCCCCCGGAGCCGACGCGGCGAGCCCCACCACCGGCCGCTGCGCGAAACCACCCCCGCGCACCCTCCGAAAGCCGCCCCATAAGCTTCGGCGTTATCATTCATGTTGACCCGGTGTTGACCTGCGAGTTTCCTTTTATTCGTGGCTCTCGACGACGACGTCGGGCTGCCCGAGCTTCTGGTATGGCCGCCGCCGATGGCCCGCACAAGCTGGCGTTCGTTTTCGGCCCCGTCGGGTGGCAGCGCGAGAACATGGGCCGCGCGCTCTACGACAAGGGCGGCGTCTACCGCGCCGTCTTCGACGAGGTCGCCCGCGAGTGCCGGCCGGCGCTGCCCGTGCCGCTCGGCGACGTCGTCTACCCGGTCAAGGGCGCGTCGGCGCTGGACCTGAGCGGCATGATCGACTCGACGTTCTACGCGCAGACGTCGCTCTACGCCGTCGAGGTCGCGCTCGACGCGCTCTACCGGTCGCACGGCGTCGCGCCGGCCGCGTGCTGCGGCCACAGCATCGGCGAGTTCTCCGCGGCCGCGTCCGGCGCCGCGGCGACCTTCGCCGCGGCCGCCGACGTCGAGGGCCAGGGCAACGCGCTCATCGCCGCGGCGCGCGACCCGCCGTCGACGCCGCCGCGGCTCGAGGCGTCGCCCGCGCGGGCGCGCGCGCTCACCGTCGCCGAGGGCGCGCGGCTCGTCGCCGCGCGGGCCAAGCGCATGGCCGAGGGCGCGGCGCCCATCGCGGGCTGCATGATGGCCGTCGGCGTCGGCGCCGACGACTGCGAGGCGGCCATCGCGAAGGCCGGCCTCCGGTCGTCGGACGTCTGCGAGGTCGGCGCGGTCAACGGCGCGGGGTCCACGGTGCTCTCCGGCGACGCCCACGCCGTCGCCAGGGTCGTCGTCGTGCTCCGCGAGGGCGGGGCCAAGGTGCGGCCCCGGCGCGTGCGAGGCACGTCCCACGCGGACCACAGCCGCCGCCTCGTGCCCGTCGCCGCGAATCTCGCGAGGGACGTCGACGGCATCCTCCACGACAAGGGGTCGACGGCTTTGACCATGGTCGTGTCGACGGTGACGGGCAAGACGGCCGACGTCGCGACGCTCCGGTCCGGCGCCCACTGGGCCGCGCACATGACGAAACGCGTCGAGTACGTGAAAGCCGCGCGATGCCTCGCGCGCGACCACGGCGTCGCGACCTTCGTGGAGATCGGCGACGGCTTGCTCGGGCGCGTGACCCTGCCCATCGTCGAGCCCCTGATCCCGGACCACCGCGCGGCGTGGAAGGCGTCGCTCGCGCCCGCGCGCGAGGCCGTCGGCGACGGCGACGCGGATTTCCGGACCTTCGAGGCCGCGCTGGAGGCGCTCGTCGAGGCCGGCGCCACGTCCGGCGCCGCGTACAAGAGCCCCGTGAAGAAGAACCGCGCGTCCATCAAAGCCGCGAAGCCCGCGCCGAAGACGGTACCGACGAAGGCCGCGGCGACCGCCGGCGTCGACTCGATGGCCTTCTTCAACAAGGCGCTGGCCAAGGACGACAACGGCAAGGGCAAGGGCGCCCAGCGCGTCTTCTCCGACGGCGAGATGGGCGACTACCTCGACGAGCTCGGCAAGGCCCACGCGGAGGACCTCGCGGCCAAAGCCGCGGCCGCGTCCAAGGTCTTCCTCGCCGAGGCGTCGACGGTCTTCCTCCAGGGCACGCTCTACGGCTGCGCCATGCTCTCCGTGCTCGTCGAGCACTCGGGCTTCGAGGACGTCCAGCTCCGGAGCGGCTTCTGGGCCTTCGTGTCGCTCAACGCGTGCCCGCTCGCGATGTGGGCCTTCTTCTGCATCGCGGGCATCAACGACCGCCTCGTGCTCAAGGCCGACGTCGCCATGGAGGACAACGAGCGCACGCTCGGCCACGACCCGCCGCCGCAGCGGCCGCTCAAGGGCCGCGTGTCCGCGCTCATGTGCATCTGGCTCGCGATGGTCATGTTCGACTACCTGAAGAAGATCGTCTACACGTCCTACCTCCGGGGCTTCGGCGTCTGCTTCGGCTGCATGGGCACCATCGGCCCGCCCAAGTACCCGAACTTCACGCGGACGAAGCACTTCGTGCTGTCGCTCGCGAGCATGAAGGTCTTCGCCTACGCGTTCGAGCGCTTCCTCGGCCGGCGCCGCGCGCTGACTTTGGTGCCGCCCGTCGCCCTCGCGCTCCGCGTCTGCACGGAGGCCTTCATGCTCGACGAGCACCAGTACGGCACGAAGGTCGGCGGCCTCCACGCGCGCTACGTCTGCGACGCGCTGCCCTACTTCGCGTGGCCCGCGTTCCTCCCCGTCGGCGCCGCGACCATCGACGCGACGGCCACGGGCGACGCGAACCGCGCGCACCTCGACGTGCCCGTCGTCTCCAAGGCGCTCCTCGCCAAGTGCCGGCGCTGCTTCGCGTCGTCGCGGGCGAAGGCCGCGTCCGTCGTCAAGGGCGGGACGAACCCCATGGCCGCCGCGGCCGTCACCGTGCAGCCCGAGGCCGTCGTCATCGACCCCGTGGCGACGGTCCACGTGCGCAGCACCTACGCCAAGTGGTTCACGGCGACGGTGCTCCTGCTCAACGTCGTCACGGTCGCCGTCGTCAACCGCCAGTGGCAGGACACGCGCGCGGAGCTCAACGGCGCCGCGGGCCTCCACGGGCCCAAGTCGACGGTCGACAAGGTGCGCGCCGTCGTCTTCTGCGCCGCGAACCTGCGCTGCTCGGGCAACTTCCTCGGGGACCGCTTCCGCGACTTCCTGCCGCTCGGCGCCGGCGTCGAGCACCGCGCGAAGAAGGTCGCGCAGCGGCTCGTCGTCTGCGCCCTGTCGGAGCTCTGGCGCGGCCTCGTCTTCTTCTCGGCGACCTTCTGGTGCCCGACGCGCGACAACGTCGTCGCGCGCCTCGGGCTGCGCTCCGTCTTCGCGTTCATGTTCCACCCGTTCTTCGTGCCCGTCGCGAAGAAGGTCGTCGGCAAGCTCCAGTCCGAGTTCCCCGAGATCGACGACCTCGCCTGGCTGCCCGTCATGGTCCTCTTCCAGTTCTTCGTCAGCCGCCAGCCGCTCCTGCGCCTCGACGACGTCGCCGGGCCGCTCAAGGCCTGGGTCGCCGCGCCCCGGGGATCGCCGCGGCTCCCGGAGCTCCGGCGCAAGGCCGCGTCCCTCGCGCTCCACCCCCAGCTCGTCATGGCCTACATGCTCCTCCTCGCCGCCGTCGCCCGCGTCGTCCAGGTCGCCGAGTGACCGACGGCCGTGCCCGCCGTCCGCGCCGCTACTAACCCGGACGCCGCTCGTGAAATTGCCTTGGCGCGACCGAAACGTGGTCGAAACAGGCCTTTGGATTCGATTCAAAGAGCTCTCTCTTTGCGTTCGCCGCGCGAAAAACGAGCTGAAGCAAGCCCTAACATGTCCGAGGAGTACGAGAAGGAGCCCGTGAAGGCGGTCAGCATGCCTGAGATGGACGAGACCGGCGCCGGCTGTGCGGAGCGGCGTACGTCATAGTTTTCGGATATGTTTCGGGTTCGCGCCGCTCGACGTCGCGGGGCGCGGCCTCGCACACGGGGACGCGACCGAGACGATCTCCGACGCGCGCTCGTCCGTCCTGGTGATCCCGTCTCGACGACCATCCTGGGCGCGGGCGGCGCGGCGACCGTCGACGCGCTCGGATCGCCGCGCGGCCTCGGACGCGCGACCCGGATCCGCCCCCCGCCCCCGCAGGCAACGTCTGCATGCCGCCCGGCGGCATCGTCGGCGCGGACAAGTACGACTACAAGTACCTCTGCCTGCCGTCGATGCCCTGGTCCAAGGGCGGCGTCGCGCCGCCCAAGTTCCTGTCCAAGGACGAGCGCCTGCCGCTCCTCGTCGCGCTCACCATGGGCCTGCAGCACGCGCTGGCCATGGTCGCGGGCATCGCCACGTCCGGCGGCCTGCTCATCGCCGGCGACGCGTGCTTCCCCTGGCAGCGCGACTCCGCCATGTGCGAGGCGCGCGAGTACATGATCTCGGCCGCGTGGATCACGTCGGGCATCCTCACGATCATCCAGGTCTTCCGCGCGCGCATCCTGGGCACGGGCTTCTACCTCGGCACGGGCCTGATTTCGGTCATGGGCACGTCGTTCACGTTCCTGCCCATCGCGCGCGAGATGGTCATCCGCGAGATCCGCGACGCGTCCGCGGCGGGCAAGTGCGACGGCGGCGACTGCCGCGGCTTCGGCAAGGAGGGCTACGGCAAGTTCCTCGGCACGTGCATGGTCGCGTCGGTCTTCGAGATCGCCATCAGCATGATGCCGTCCAAGGTCCGCAAGCGCCTGTTCCCGCCGGTGGTCACGGGCTGCGCGGTCATGCTCATCGGCGTGAGCCTCATCTCGTCGGGCATCAAGTACGTCGGCGGCGGCGTCTTCTGCGGCGAGAACGACTTCTCGCGGTCCGCGGCGTTCGGCTCGCCCCAGTACTGCAACGAGAACGGGAACGTGATCCTGCCGTTCGGGTCGGCCGAGTACGTCGGCCTCGCCGCGTCCGTGATCGCGTTCACGGTCTTCATCCAGTTCACGGGGTCGCCCTTCCTCAAGTCCACGTGCATCTTCTGGGGCTTGATGTTCGGGTGCCTCGTCGCGGGCGTCTCGCGCTACGAGGCCGTCGCCGGCGACATGACCTTCGACTTCCACACGTCCAACGGCCGCGTCCAGGCGAACATGGTGGCCGCGGTGCCGGGCCGCAAGTACAAGTACTTCAACGACTACCGCATCCGCAACGCGCCGTGGTTCACGTTCCTCTGGGACATCACGTTCCCGCTGGGCTTCTCCAAGGAGTACTTCCTGCCCATCGTCATCGGCTTCTTCGTCTCGACGGCGGAGACCATCGGCGACGTCACGAACACGTGCTTCTACTCGCGGCTCCCGACGGAGGGCGCGGACTTCGAGTCGCGCGTCCAGGGCGGGCTGCTGGCCGACGGCGTCAACTCGCTGCTCGCGGCGCTCTTCACGTCGCCGCCCAACACGACCTTCTCGCAGAATAATGGCGTGATCCAACTCACGCAGTGCGCGTCGCGCGCCGCGGGCTTCGCCTGCGCGTTCTGGTTGATCCTCTTCGGCGTCATCGGCAAGATCGGCGCGGCGTTCTCGTCGATCCCCATCTGCGTCATCGGCGGCGTCGTGCTCCAGTGCTTCACCATGGTCTTCGTCTCCGGCATGGGCATCGCGACGCGCCACCCCACGCGCCGCAACAACTTCATCCTCATGGTCGCGTTGGCGCTCGGCATCGGCGTCGGCATGGAGCCCCAGCTCTTCGAGGGCGGCGGGCCCGCCGCGTTCTACGGCGGCAACCTGCGCCACAACATCGGCTTCTGGCCGCGCCACAAGACCTGCGACGTCTTCCCGTCCGTCACGACGACGAACACGGTGACGCCGGCGTCCTGCGATTTGGACGGGTACGTCTGGACGTCGGGCGACGAGGCCTTCGAGACGACGTGCGCGGATCTGGGCGGCGTCTACGCCGCGGCCGTCACCGAGGACGTCACGGAGACGGTCAAGACCTGCACCAACAATAACGGCTTTTGCTGCCTCGAGTACGACGACACCAAGGACGCGAACCGGACGACGACGATCATCCTCCTCAAGACGACCTACGGCATCGGCTTCCTCGCCGCGCTCTTCCTCCACATCATCCTCCCCGAGGACGCCGTCGACCCGGACGACCCCTACTCTCTCGCCCTCGCCGGCCACCCCGAGTGACCTCCAGGAAGGCGCCCGAGATCCCCCGAACGCCGCCGCCGCGCGCCCGCCGCCGCGAGAGCCGCGCCGCCCCCCCCCCCCCCC